ATGGTTTTATGGCGCTATTTCCGGCATATTTACAAGGTTTTGTACCGGATTATAGGTCATCATGCGAAATTTTATCTACCTTTTTGGTGCTCCAGAAGTATGTGCAGCAATATGTCGCACAACCTGAATCCGCTACACACACACACACATACTATTTTCAGGTTGTGCGCCATCTTGGTGCACATACTTCTGGAGGTCCCTTTTTACCTAACCCTAACCCTAAAGCCAACCATATCCATATGGAAAATGTTCTAAATTATGGTACCCAAAATGTGTCACCAGCAGGGGCAGACCTGCCATTACAGCATTACTGGCTACATACGTTGGATTGTGTTTTTAATTTGCTGCCGTGGTACTCCAACTCAAAACAAGGTGCCCCGAACTCATTGCAAAATTTTTTTCTGCTTCACCCTGTTTCCCTCTGTTTTGCGCTCTTTCGCGCTGTTTCCGCACTGTTTTGCGCTGTTTCCCTCTGTTTTGCGCTGTTTTGCGCTCTTTGCGGTGTTTCGCGCTGTATTCAGTAAGTAGTAAGACCGGTCTTTAAGTCTATTGTCATGATTGTATATTTTCACCAAAGCCTAGATTCCTTTATTAATTTTTGATTTCAGCAATTTCCAATCTTCACTCTTATAACTCTAATAGCTAAAATCTGTAGGCCTAGTCAGTTTTGTGGCTGAGTCTACAGTTCTACTAAAGCATGCCAGCCCACTTTATCAATTACCTTACAACTGTATAATGCTATAATATACAGATATAGGTGTCTCATGGATGACAGTCACTGATTTCGAACCTGTTCCAGAATTTAGAAAACATTTTGAATTTCTATTGAGTTTTAATGACTTTTTTAGGTTCAAGTACATTTTTATGTCTTGCAAGATTGGGTCTTCATTTCAGTCAGAAAACATTTCGACAAAGAGTTCAAGCAAACCTGATATCTGCATGGGCAATTAGGTAAGTCCATATTATGAATACTCATGGGATTGACCAATGGTAGGACTAATATTGTTGAAATAAATTGATGATGCAAACGTCATTGTTAAAAAACTTAGAGAAGTATGTTTAAGATGCATATATCTCATGTATTGATCATTATCAATTATTGCAATTGCATTATTATAAGCAATTTTCATACAAAAAGGCTGATGTCAGTATCAGATATTGTTCTTGATAATTTTTCTTGAGAAATGTATATCACAAAACTATACCAGAGGTCAAGGCTGCTATGAAAGACTGACTGCTTATATTTATGTATCAACACAAATTTACAATACTCCCAATTTGAAAGCCCAATCTTGTTTTTCAGTTTTTTACTATGTCACAAGGGAAGATTGTGTATGCGTTACTTTTATGCCTTGTGTTTTAAACTTTTATTTCGTACATTAATCTTTTTTTTATTAGTATTGGAGCTATGAGATCCTATTCTAATCTTCCTAATCGACCAAGTAAGACCTAGTCAAATCCTTCTGAAAAGTGTTTTTTAATATTCGCGTGAAAACCCTAAATTGTGTCTTTCAATTTCTCAGTCATCATAATCATGGTAAACAGATACAAGAGTGAAAATACTTTAATAATAATCGATTAATAATTTCAGGCTTGGCTTATTTCTTTTCTATCGAGTAATGCATGATGGTGTTGATAGAAGGTTCAATAAAGTTCGGGGAAATCCATCAATATTTTTCAAGTATTGGATGCTTCAAGGTAAATGAGTAGAAAATTGAAGTTTATTGAAAGCTGCGGTCGCTTTCGAATATTTTATATCAATTTTCATAAACTATTATAAGAATAATGCATATCACACCAATTATAATTATTATCTTTGTGTACTCATATTACCGTAGTTGAATTATCATTGTATAATGTTTTAAAACGTTGATCACTTTAGTTTTCTTTCTATATTGCGATAAAAATAGAAATTGAGTCTATGCAATTCTTTGAATAATTGTACAACGATGTATTATAATATTATGTTTTACAGTATTTTTTAATCCATTTGGAGATGGAAAAACAACGGTAGAACTCGTATTATAGTATGGTAGACCACTAGACCTCACATCAGGATAATGAAAATGAGTTATAGCAATCTTACTACTTACCAGCTGTGCATCGCATGTACTTACTATGCCAAGCTTGTTATTGTTTTCATGTTATAGTTGCATCTCAATAGATATACACATACACAGTAAAGGCTGCCTTCATAATTGAAACTGACTTTTTTATTAGAGTAAAAGTTATTCTCAAGCTAGGTAGATCTATTGGTTATTAGAAAAATCAACTTCCATCACAATTTCCTTCCACTAGCAGACAAACCACTATAACTTTAGTGAATGATATCGTTTCATAAATTGTTGAACTTTTCATTAATAAAAAAATTCAAGTTTCATTGCAATTACCTCAAACAGGCAGAGTCATATCTCTCAATAAATTGTTGGTAGTTTGATTCTATTGTTCAAGTTATCTCAATCTATTACTAGTTCTAGTAATATTGTCTCTCCATGTTTGTTATAAAATTCGGTTATGACAGGTGTATGGGTATTGGTGACTATGTTACCTTCTCTACTCAACAATGAAAGTAAAGACCGTCTTGAACCAACAACCAGAGACTACATAGGTTGGGGAATGTTCGGGGTTGGATTTTTAACTGAAGTAATCGCTGATTATCAGAAGTTTACATTTCGAAGTGATCCTGATAATGCTGTGAGTTTTCCATATGATTCGTTTTCACACCTTTGGTCGAAACGAGTCTCTGTATAAGCAATCACCAATATTTATGATCTATGCTATTTTGAGTGAAATTCATTTTTGATTCTTGTCCATAATCTTGATTTGAAGATTCATGTAGTTATTAAGTTATGTTGAAATATAAACTGATGCTACTTTTGAAGCATTTTTTATGCTGTAATGCATTATGTCTGTATCAGGTCATAAATTCGAAACTTACTATTTGTCATTTTATAAATTTCCTATATATGTGAAGAGATAGCAATGGTGCTATTAAACCTCCAACCTAGTTACACATTAACATCTCATTCATAGGAAATGTTTATAGAACCAGTCTGCATTTTAAAAAACAAATGTGTGTATAGAATCAGAAATTTATATTTCATGTTCCAGGGTAAATTTATCTCCCACGGACTTTGGTCAATAAGTCGACATCCCAATTATTTTGGTGAAATATTACTCTGGTCTGGACTGTTTGTGTCGGCTTCATCTTCATTCAAAAGTAAGTTTATTATTTGTAGGATGACCAAAAGGATATTTTTGGGCATGCTGAGTGTTATTTAATATATATTCTTAATTGAGCAATGCCCAATACTCGAATTTGCATATATTTGCAAATGAAATTACTTATTTGAAAACTTGATGGATATCGGAGAGTTCTTAAACCAATCATTTCAATTTTCAACTAAAATATTTCCAAATAAAATCAAGTCAAGAATATACAACATCAAATAGTATGGGATTTGAATATTTGTCCCAGAAAGAGGAAAGTTGATACGTCTGTTCAATCATATATCTTGTAATGTATAAATTATACTATTTCATTTATTTTGGGTCGTCATTAGGTTTGATTTTTGAAATTGGTAGTTTGCTGAGATCTCCTTGGTTTGCTCTAGACAGGAATGGTTCAAACAGTTTGTTAGTGGTCTTTTGTCAAAAAGCACTGTTGCTCATTGAGCTAATTGTTAAGAATAGGCTCATCACACTGTGGAGATGATTATGAGAAGATTGCTATAGTCTCCAGTTATTTAGTAAGACTTCCACCATCTTAAATAATACATCTGGACTATTCACTAGTTAGCTTTGCATTACCTTGAAATCGGTTGAGTGTCTACGCATGATGCTTTATCTTATTATAAATACCCTCCAACTCAATAGCTATTAAAAAAATCCTATTTGATATAATACACCCGAAAAATTTGATTTACTTTTCATCAACAGATTGGGAATGGTTAAGCATTATTTCACCATTGTTCAATTATTACCTTCTTACAAGAGTTAGCGGAATCCCTACATTGGAGCGAAGTGGATTGAAGAGATATGGTCATCTACCAGCGTATCAGGATTATATCAAGAGTGTACCGGAGTTGATTCCCTTTTTTGGCAAGCCCTAATTTTTAATGTGCAAATATAATGATATCTCTATAATTTTTCATTTTCAATGAGGAAATTGCACACTCGAAATACTGTGATTAATCATGGCACAAATATTCTCTTCTATAATCATCACCGAAAGCAGTGGTTGTTAAGCTTTTTGGTGGAACAGAACTTCAATGAAACATTCCAGGGGCTTAGGGAATCCCTGTGCAATAGTTTTCTTTTATTGTACAATAAATATAAATAGTAGGGAACCTAATACTATAGGCTACTTGTAAAAGCAAATCTTAAAGTGTAACATGTCTAATAATAATGGCAGACCCATGTGCATTTGAGTATAATTAAACATTATACTACATACATCAGTTTTGAACGGAAACTTACAAAACCCTAGACCTGGGTGAAGTTTGAAATATCTTTAAATTATATATGCGCAATAGCAAATTAGTGTCTTTTTTGCCTTTACCGGATTGCCTTTTAGTTTTCATGCGTATGGTACTTAACAGTTGTATATCAACCTAACGCAGTTTAACTCAAATCTATTCTGAGTTTCCCCAAGGACTATCTATGCCTCCCATTGCTTCTTATGTGAACTTTATGGCCGATTATCAATCTCTTTATACTTCTCCTATTAAACATCTTCATCTTCATATCATCTAGAATGGTAGTTACCTCACTTTTCATTCATTCTGTATATCTTTGTTTTCAACATGTGTCCTATGCCTCAAATCAAACTTGCGCTAGGTAGAATGCGATTGTTTCGATGATGGATGGGAATGGAAAATGTAACTGGGGAAGAAGAAACTTCGCGGTCATCTCGTACCACATAAATAGTTTTTATTTTGACGAGATTCTCCAATGGTGCCCTATGCAGAAACCCGTATCCACTTTCAATCAGATCGCACTATTTCACGTTTTCATATTTATTTGAATTTCTGGCTAAATTTCCTATAACAGCAATAGTTCAATGTTAAATAACGTAGAAAATAAATAGGCAAGAAGCGGGTGTGTGTGACTTGTATCAAATATAACGTGAATGCCATGTGTGGTTGAGTTGAATACAGGAGTAAAAAATTCAAATTCCGTCGTTCAATGGATACACTCACATTGCGTGCAAAGCTTTTGTTTGTGGACCCTTCGGTAGCAAAGCGTACAAATTGTAATGGGGCATCAATTATATAGTTTAAATTATCATGCTTTTCGGTGATCAGTGGATAGACATTCATTTCGATATCTCTCCGTTGAATATTTTTCCGTCTGAAAAGTAAAATGGTATGTCAGAAAAGATGACAGCAGAACATTGCAACCGTATTTCTGTGAATAGGAGGGAAAATAAAAAGGTTTTTGTAACCGAATGCTCTATTTGCTTTTACGTTGATGTGGTTAATAAACCATTATTGCTTTGTAATTTATGTGAATTTAATTACATTAACACTACTCTATGCTGCTTCAATTTATTATCTATTTTTCGTTCATATAATCGTATTTTTCACTTTATTATGATCTCATAAATGACAAATGTGCCAACAATTCCCATTCATCTGCTTTTTAATCAATGAATAAATGCAATTCATCTTTAATGTTGACTGGCTGTATTCGATAGACGCAGCTTTGGTGTATTATGACGTCAAGGTATTTTGCTCTTTAACTGTTTAGGCTACATCAAATGGGCCGGTCCTGACCATTGCGCGGCCCAGTTCGGTTAGAAATGAGGGTCATGGTCGAATATTAAGATTTTATGACCAAATCAAATACGAGTCTTTACGTTTTATTGCACAATTAACTAAAAGAGCATTGCGTGTGGGAAAGTCCTACAGTTTATCATGAAGTTATAGGGGTCTACACGATTATATATTACAAATTCAATAGTCAACGCCCGTAGAGGTCCGAGATACAATGCGGCCGCATAGGTTCTGGCGTGTTTGATTAGGTCATTTCTTGCTACGGGTCATTTCGACCTAGGGATTTAAATTAAGCTAAATGTCCATGGATATGTTAAGTGCTATATTCCCCGAAATCAACTCACATTTCGGTACCCCCGTAGTGCGTGTGCCAGGCCATGATTTTATTCCAATTTTCCTTATTTTATTTCTATTACGAGTTCTGGGACTGTCTGTGTTAGACAAGTGAATAACGGCCTCTATGTTTAAGTCCCTTTAGACGACATTGTAAAGTAGGCGGACAAAATAAATTACCTCCATATTGGTACACACACTTCTGGAGCGCCAAATTTTCTACTGCTAAATTCGCAAAAAACTTACTTGCATTCTGGTCCTTCCCGTTTTGTCCCGAATAGTCTTTCCTTTTAATTCTGGAGTAAGGTCCTACGTCTGGATCGGTTATAAAATTCTTTTATTACTCCGGGCCAGGAGTCATGGCGGGGAAGATCGTCGTAGAAATCCGGTGCTATCTTCTGAACCTGAAAAAAGGATAATATATAGCATGCTACACTGTCCAGTTTGGCTAATTCGGAGGGTGCAAATGGTTACATTGAATCAAACGAATGCCGTAAAAAATTGTCAAATTATCCCGAAGACACATGATGATGGGTTTGGTGTCAAAACACTAATGTATGGCAGGCCGCCCCGGCAGCACGTTGTATGAGTGAGTTTGTTAGATTAGTTTTATGATTTGAATTAATAATACAAACTCTTACTTGACTTGACATGTGAGTCCAAGTTTGGCTAATTCGGAGGGTGCAAATGGTTACATTGAATCAAACGAATGGGCGTAAAAATTGTCAAATTACTTGCTGAATTTAATTTTTAATTATGATAGGTATAGGGATTTACATATTTACCCGATGAGACATCAGCTGATGGGTTGGTGTCAAAACACTAATGTATGGCAGCCGCCCCGCCGGCAGCACGTTGTATCAGTGAGGTTTGTAGATTAGTTTTATGATTTGGAATTAATCCATACAAACTCCATCTATAACAACATCTATAATTGTTTACATCCCCCGAATTACTTTTGAAGTCATACCTCAAGGGGGATCGTTATGAGAAACTCTCCCCGGACAGTTTGGCAAACCTCTGACTGGCAGCAACATTATGATCGTAGTTTTAATCACCCAAATCGAAGGCCTAGGATTATGTCAAAGATCATTTTTCACTCGGTTTACATATCAAAAGCCGCATTCGATTTTCGATGTCGAGCAAACATACAGCAATGCTTACCAGTGGCAATTTGGCTCCTGGAATGCTTGGAAAATCATGGTGTTCCATGTGATATCCTACATTGTATGTTAACATGTTCAAAGGCCCGTAATATGAGTAGGTTTCGTGTCCCTGAAATAAATGAAGAACTATTAATCAAGTTAAAATCCGACTTAAAGCAGTAACGCATATCCGAATTTCGCTCAAATACTTTGCCTACGTGTGTATCCTATAAGCATTTGGAACAACGTTGTAGCAGCGATGCTGATGTCCCGTACGAGCGAGATACCACTACCAGTGATGTGAGTCTGTGACGGATATTATTTTATAAGCTAATCAGCCCCATAGAATATGATCGATCAAAGCTGATTACTTTTCTCGAATATGCGGGTGAACTGAGAAAGAGACTTATTATCACGTTTCTTTATTTTGAGTTCACATTACTCACATCACACATAACTCGAGCCAAATTGAACACCTGCGTTATTCGGACAGTCAGACGTGAAAACACAGGGTCCGCCTTGAACCGACCACCATCTTAAAGCAACATAAATCGCTGTTTGTTTTAGCTTTTAATTAACGAACTGTATTTAAATAGATCTTCATGCATATTGAACTAAAATGAAAAACTGATCCAATGTTCCATAAATCTTTAGTTGGACAAACAGGCGAGATGTACAGTGTATATACATAAAGTCGTAACAAATTTGAAATTGCAAATGTTTTTTTTTCGCGCATCAGTGGTCGAATACGGGTGAAGTTCTCAGTTTCTACATAACCTCACAATAGCAGAATAAGTGACTATGTGAAATTAGTTCAAATATGTATTTTCCTCACCTTTAAAAACATGTAATGCTCAGATATAAAATGTCCTGAAACGGGATGAATTGCCAGGCCTAGGTAGGTACCAATGAGAAGATACGCAAGGGCTCGTCCTCCCCACATCCAAACCAAAAAAACTTGAAAAAAAATATATATAATTAGAAATGAATTTTAGATCAGCACCAATTTTAACAAACTATTGACGCGACTTGATCGAAATGTTAAGCATAGATATACGTCAATTAAATCTAAATAAAAATTATTTAAAAATGATGCATTTGACAAGGGTTAGTATGACATCACAATCCTATTAACAAATAATATGCTTGAGGTTGAGAGACTTTATTAGGAATACATAATATCTTTTTTTAAAAAAGGTTAACGGCCATTTATTACCAAATTCTTTGATTGCCTACCGCATCTAAAAAAAAACAGGGTTTATATGCTGAGGTATGGGCATTCGAGGCCTGAACTTTATATTTTCACACAGAAGGTCACCGTACTTTGTGAAATTTTGTGGTAAGCCTGTTAAATAGGAGATGTGCTCGTTTTTGCATGAAAATACGATCGCCTAAATTTATTCAAATACATTATTGCGCAACCCTCAGTATTGACCGCGACGAACCGCTGGTTGCTGGAATTATTTATCGCAGCGCAATTAGTTAACATACATACCATTGAACGTGATCTGGGCAAGTGGCATTGATGAGGTCTTGTTGTGTAAAGGTTTCGGATTGATGTACAGAGGTCGTATTGCATAGAGTAATGGCTGCAGTAAAACCCATAAAGACTTACGTAGCGTTGTGCTGTGTGAAAATAGGTAACAGTATTTTAATACGTATGGGAAATGAGTAAATACTACGTATACAATACATCCATAAATTCAACAAATTAGGTGCACGTGGTGTGCACTAGTATGTATCACAGGTAATCCATGAGATACTTCCGACATTTCCACCAGCATTAGAAAAATTAATGTGTTCAGCAATTCATCATCTGGGTGTCTGACCTTGTTTTATTTTTATTATCACAATTTCACTGCCTGTTATTACGTATAAGCAAGGTTGCCATAGCGTCCGATATTTCTAAAAGAAACGTCCTTATTTTGACATGAGTCCTTATGTTTGTTTTCTTTTAGGGGTAGAGGTTCTTATACCCGGCACTTAGATCATTGGTCAATTCGAATGATTGATTTGCTAGAAATGATATTAGAACCTCACCGATTGCTTCGCGCATACATGGCGTAATGACAGCAAATTAATTGCCACAATGACAAAACAATAGCCTACCGGCAAAGATCAGTTCGTGTAACTTGAATCAAAATACGGTAGTGAATAAGAGCCGTGCAGTTGACGAGTAGAATTACTAAGATGTGATAGGTTTAATAAGTGTATAGCAGTAGCCTACTGATTTCGTTTCTAAGAATAAAGAATTGATGTAGCAAATCCTTTCTAATGCAAAGTATAAATAACACGGGTCACACTGGCATGGATACATTTTGTTTATTACATTTATTACATCGTTCTTTGGTATCTTATTATTATGCTTCCCTGATGTCCTTATATTTGGGTTCATGTCGATGGCAGCCCTGCGTATAGGCTATCTTATATCATTTTGCCTGAAAGCTACACGCATGTACGCGATTTGAATACGATCGAGTACGTATTTTGTTACTGACACCCGGAAATACATGGCACAATATTTCCTAATCAGCAAATTCTGGGTAAAACGACAGTTTAAGAAAAACATCGAAAACAGATAAAACTAAAAGCTTTTTGAGACACATTTTTATCTTAAACTATACCCAAAATCTGAAAAGATTGGTCCGGTAGTGGGAAAAGTTTTTGTCCCAATTACAACAATTTGCCTTAACGATTCATAAACCCATCGTTTTTCTAAAACAAGAAACATCAACATGCATCAACTTGGCGCATCTACGTAGGCAGAATAAGGGGCGCTCCAGAAGTGTGTGTACCAATATGGCGATAATTAATTTTTTTCGCCTATTTTACATCAAGTTGTGTAAAGGAACTGAAACCTAAGGGCAGAGGGTATATTCACTTGGCTAACACAGACAGTCCCCGAACTCGTTGTAGAACTAAAGGAAGTAAAATGAAAATAAAATTATGCCCTAACCTGGTACACACACTACGGGAGTACTGAATAAGGAATATAAATAATGGCTCGTCTCACCAAAACAAAACACCTTCAAATTCTGTTGGGATGTCGGTGTCGATTCCGTCTACCCCTTGACATCGGTGATGATCGAGGTGATATTTCTTGAATGATACAGAGTAAGGAATGCCGATAGGGAGGTTCGCAAACATGGCAAAAATTCCATTCCACCTGTAAGTATGAAATTAACCGAATACTTGATGCGTAGTGGTATTCAAATTGTTCGCACGAGTTCCTGCTGGTTTTTATCTTTTGTATAATATTAGTTAGGCACTGGATTCCTGTAAAACGTGACTTATAAGATGACATACATTCACATTTTAGTCACGTAATATTGTAATTGTAGGTAATTTTTTTGTCAAATCAAGGGGAACAGGTAGTTAAATAGTAACTGACCTGCTTTTACTTCCATGTCCATATGCTTGATTGTGAGACATTTCGTGTATTGCAAGTGTTAAGCTATGATTCAATGTTCCTAAAAACAATACAGAAGATTATTTCCATGGAAAATATTTTCAATAATTTTGCAAATAAGAGAAAGAATGCATTCTATCCTGCGTATATATTATCATGGATGTAAGGACAAAATCCTAACTTAGAAATATGTACTTTTGAAAGTCACGGTTATATCTAATCAGAAATACCAACATGACAGCATATCGGACGCGTAAAATAAACTTGATGTTCGATGCACGATTTTCGATGACGACCCTGTGATTAATCAGATCACTGGCCTGCTATAACTGACGTCACAGGATACGATTCATCAATATCCTTATCCAAACAATTGGAGTAGAAATGAAACTCCAAATGAATATATTATCAACCACAATAATTTAGTACATTAAGTGTAAATACGACTGCGAAATTCTTGTAGTATTTTGTACCTATGTTCTGAGCGAGGGGATTTCAAATAGAGGTAAATTTGGCCTGTACTAGAGGAAAATTTTGCAAGTAAGAAAGTACACCACCAAATGTGGGTGTCTGTTGACTACACGAAGCGGATCGCGAAATTGTTGGAAACGCAACGCCCTCTGCTACACAATAGATGTTATTCTGCTCTTAAACTAGAGTGACTGCCAATCGTATCCCGACTTTTTATACTTCACCCACGGAATTGAAAAAAGGAGTTCACACACACTGTCTGCTCTAGCAGATGGTAGGTTTTACTTTCAAATTTGCTAATATTCGTAGAGCTAATAATTCGATTCAAATCCGTAGAAACTATATAAAATAAGTAAATAAATAAACAAACCTCCCAAAATATATGCCCATAGTAAAAGCCATGGCCACGACAGATCTCTGACAAGATAGCAAGCAACAAATTGTGCGGCAACTTGGGCACATACAACCCACTTGAAATGTGGATTTACCTTCATCAATCTCTTGAGTTGTGGGTATTGACCTGAAAATAGAACAGGGTAGGATTTACATATTTATCCCGGGGGAGAAAAAAGGATATAGGACGGCTTAATAATATGGCCTCGTCCGGTCATTATAGTCCATGTCAGGTATGGGATCAGTCAGTCAGATATTTGTTTCAGATGCATGAACTTGGATGGATGGTGGAGGAAGCTGCAACAGACCAGAGGTCAAATGAATCGCCCTACGGCGGCGAGGAGTCCAGCAATCCTCCCACACATAATTATACCCCACGGGATTCGAACCCAAGCAGGGTAATCCGGGGTGCGTTGGCGAGCGTATTCCTAACGCTGATGCGACAAACAGTTTGTTGAATTCGGTAAATATTCATAGGCCTTAGTCATCTTGCTCTGATCCGAGTCATTCTTTGTTTGGTAAATATATCGTGAACTTGGTATTTAATATTCAAATACGTCAATGCAGGCGGGTAAAGACGACTCATTGTTGCGTACGTGAGCTACTGACAGTCATTATTAACGCGAAATGGTGAAAATCAATGAAGATCATCAAAAACCGAATCTGCTATTATTGTTGGAAAAAAGTCGAGGCGGCGAAAGGGCGCTCTCCAAGATAAATACTTCAATACTATTTCGCATATTGTTAAATTTGTGAGATCTGGCCTGAGCAGAGCATTTAAAATACAAATGCGATGTCCAGTTTTTCCCTCCATTCATTTGTTGACATACATCGGCGATATTTGGAAAAAATCCAATAATTGCAATTATTCAGAGCTCGGGTTAAGTGAACATTTTCGAATCGTTCCAAAACAAATATGTAGGATAGTATTTTTGTATTTACATATTTATCCCAACGAAAAGGAAAGCCGACAAGAGTAGCCATATGGCGTACCACGGCCTCCCGTCCGCCGACCAGTAGTAAGTTATATGTTTTCAGATGCATGGATTCGATGGTGGAGGAAGCCGTGACCGGGTTCAGCACATAATTATCGCCCATGTGACTCAAACCTGCGAACCCACGCAGAATAATCTGAGGTGCAAATCGCCAGCTCGCCTAACGATCTCGTCATCAAACAAGAACAATTTTCGTGATGAGGTTACAAATCGTGCTTCTGACAAGAATTGTTGAACTGACACATTTCAAACCTGCAAATATCAGCTTTGGGACCAAAATAACAGAGGTATTAAGCTACTTACTAAGCATCTGTATTCTCCGATCTGTGTGAGGTTGGTCTGAATAATCCCATTCGAATCGCTCTCTTGTGACATATCCTCCCATGGTTAGAGTAAGTTTAGAAATAAGTTAGGCTAGATTTAAATAATGGAAAATGATTACAATTTCAAATTATGACAGCACAAATGTAATTTATATTATATGACATCATAAATAAATATTACACTTTGTTATGTAGCTTCCTCCTCGCGACACGGACATGTACAGGCCTACAGGGTCGCCATGAAATCATATAATATGAGTAAACAATCCTATTCAAAATGTTAAATTAGTTGAATTACTCAATAGGCCTGTTAATTTGTTTATGCCTAATCACACAAACATTTTTGTCCACAACAATAAGCAAAATACCTGATGGAAAGGCAGCTATAAAACAAAACTCTAGTATTTCGCAGCATAGAAAGGAAGTAAGTTTTAATGGCATTTGAATCCGTAATATTTGCTTGGTGCCTCAACCTTTGTTGTTATAAGCACGACGTGCATGCATTCGAACATAAGACTGAATACGGCTAAGGTGTGGGCGATTTGGATTTTCAGTCAATTAAGCTACAGCAGCCCAGGCGATTTGGATTTTCAGTCAATTAAGCTACAGCAGCCCAATGAGTTTAGTATTCTCCCGTCTGCTTAATGCTTACGCTTGCCCACTGTATCCTTGTGAGCTGGCTTTGGTATTTTAGATCAATTGTAGCCATTCGCATCGTCTTATTGCTCTAACCTTACTATAATATCATTTTCTTTCCAAAAACTTAGATTCAAAACTGAACTTTTAATCGAAAAATGATACCTGCTGTACACATCAAGTTGCGTTAGCTGTCGGCAGTTAAATCTAAACATATAGGAAATAGGCTGTACTTTGAGTGGTACAAAAGCAGGTATACACTGTTAAAAATCGTTTAATCTACCGAAATTATTAGCATTCCACATATTTTGAATACAATTTCGGATAAAATGTAATGCGCGATTCATAAAAAAACACCCCTACCCGTGGCTGCGTGATGTGGAATGTAATAACTGCACAATTTAGGTAGTATGTACGCGTTGTTTGAAGTATTTTCACATCGGATACCACGTCGCGCTGATATGATTCATACAATAAACCGCACCAGAATATGCGGAAACACAACTGGATATAATAATAAATTTGTATCTACCAGGAGAAATATTGAGAATATTTTATCAATAATACACCATACTCGGCAGTCGGCAGCTTAATTTTAGAAGTGTTTTATATCACACTTGGCGTACATTGGGTATGAAATATGTTACTGTGTTCATTAGGAAATAACGGTATCAAATAGAAACCATATTTTAGTGAAGCAAAGAATATATATGATTAATAACCTGCGTGTCATCACATTATCCACAAGAACTATATCTGCACATGTGTCTGCGAAAGAGCAACTACACTTGACAGTTGACACAAATTTAACCTAGACAAACGATGAAATATCAAAACTGGAAATTTATGTCGTCATAGGCAATAAATACTGTATGCACTTTGACAACCAAACCTGCCGGCAATCAAAACTAATTATCGGTTTCATGTTTCAATGGTTTGCACGATGTCTATGCACATTAAATTGCTTACTCTATTCTCCTTACTAAAGTATTTTAGTCCATAGTGTGCTACAGAAAATCCGCATTCAAAGAAAATTGTTTGCTTGAAACGTAGACCAGCAAATGGAATCTCTATTTCATTTTGACTATAGCAACATGCTAAAAATTGAAACTAGTCTTTGGCTTTGCGTCTCTGCCTGGCAACAGATTTGTTGAGTAATATTTGTCAATTTGCTCCCTGTTCTGGGAGTTCACACAACTATAGAATCGATACCTCTAGCGAACTAAAATTTAGAAGAGACGTTTCCATACAATACCAACAATAAAAAACCGTGGCATTATGTTGATTCGTTCAGTTTCATCTCTCTAAATTGCTCCTTCTTGAAAGAATTCGAACTGAGCTATACAAATTGAACAAAGGTATTTAATGCTATTTTAATCGCATCCGCATGTTGAACGGTATTTGTTTCCGCTCTGCCTTGTATGGGCTGCCGATATTGCGACACGTACTTATCGACACGTACCCAATTCCAATACCGTAAAAAGTGATAAAATTTACAATTTTTTTTTATACAAAATAACATTAAACGTCAATGAAACCGCGAAGTCAAATTACATCGATACGAAAATGGGAGTTTGCGACTCAACTCCCAATAACAAGCGTTTCGATTTCAATCATAAGATTGCTCATACTCTCGAAAGAGGACCGGTACAATCATACACATACAAACCGAAAAACAAAATAGATTTTGTACGTTCGCAAAGCCTTCAAATGTCTACAAAAATGACATTGTTGTGTAGCTTGTTGTGGTACAGTAATACGTCATAGGTTATTAATAGGAAATCAAACGTTGTAGGAGAAAATATACAATCTCAGACACCAAACTACCTATATTAACAGGTACAACGGAGATTTGTGTCGAGTTAATTAAACATAAAAAACAACCATACCTATATATCAAACTGCCTCAGCTTACGCTATGTTTCTCAATTGCAGAATTTTACTAATAAATCTCTAGACTAGATGGCTGGTTTGATTATATCATTCAACTACAGTTGTTCTCAAACCGCTCTGAAACAAAATAGGACTGATAACTATAATATTTAAATAAATTCAAGCTATTTCGTCTTGATAAATAGCATTGAGAAGAAATAAATTATACAGAAAACTATCAGAAATATATCTTTCTGATTCAGCATATATTAATAGTCTTATCTTTGCGTCTCGACCAATGCTGAGATATGATGCGTACTCTGTGCAGGAAAGAAATGAATAGCAATGTAATCAATACAAGATACTTCCCATTCGTCATTCCAATGTTACTGTTAACAAACTTATGAAATTTACAAACATTTACTGTTGATAAAATGATAGGAATCAATCATGCGTTCCCGTTCAATAATCACAACGTATATGTATATATTATAACACTGTCCAGATGCGCTGTACGATACATTGTACAAAATGTAATACACGCGATTCTATATGAACCTAACGCTTTTTTTATACAGCAATGTGTCAATCAATTAAAATATGAGCAATGCGTCTCAAGGGAGAGGTGGGATGCCCACAGTTGACTAGGAATTAAAAATTTATATGCTATTATGCCTGCTGCTCCTGGCATGATATCAGACTCATTAATTACCGGTGTGGCGGATTATGGTTATTTATGCTTGGGCACGACGAACGAAATGATGAAAGTAATAATACTGTAAGTAAGTCATGACAAAACATGATTCAATCACTGACCCAGCATGGTAAAATACTAACAGCGAATGCCGTTAGAAAATATACGGCAATTTTGAACAATGAAAAACATTTATAGAGCTTGATTGCTGTCATGTCGAGGATAAATAAAGCAAAACCGCCGACAGCAGAACGATGTAAGGGCTGACACGAATGACTTTTACATTAGTTGCAAAGTTCTGATACTTCATTCTAGCAATACAGACTAAAATACAAATCATATATGCAAACCTCCGAAAGCCTATTGATGAGAAAGGAACTTGCCTGTCGGTGTGAATACTGTGTATCGGAATCAATTTTATATAAGCCTCTTTACAGCTAGCTTAAAGTGAAAGTAGTATATAATTTGATACCAAATTGCAAATATATTTTTGATTTCAAATTGTATGAAGCAATATGCACCATACCTAGGCCGACGAGAAAACGACCTAGAATATTTGAATTGCTTTAATAAAATAAATAACTTCTGGTGTGTTATTTTCGTAATTTCAAAACACCTATATAAATCGGAATAGGGTTCTTCGTATCAAAACGCTAAATTCCTAAACTTGTTCGTTATTTTTATAAATATCTTCGAGTTTACATATCGTGCTGCTAATTTCGAATATCTGATAATGAATAAATTCAACTGCTCATCCCATTTCTCATAAATTTCACCACATGACCAATGTAATGGCGTAATTGTTGCATCCATTATTTAAAAAAAAAATGCTAAAATGGAACAAAAAGAATGAAATTTACACAGCTTTTTGTTTTATTAGGTTTTACTTCCGTTGTTAAAATATAAATTTCGCTTGTTGAATCATTCCGACCCTGAACGCACCCTCCAGCTTGTTAGGCAAAATCAATTGAGCGAAGGTAAAAGCTTTTGACTAGAAATATCTCTAGTGTAGCAAATTCGTTCAAAGTTTAAAAACTGGACAAAAATCAGTTGATACACAAAGTTCTCTAATATTCGATTTAGTATATTTCAGTTGTCACTTGGTACTTCATCTTGTGAGTGAGTTTGTTTTTGTTGAACGAGGTTGTGTAACAGCGCATTTGTATCAGGAACAAGAGAGCAATGCTCAGATATATGGGCAAGATAACCAGAGCGAAACGGTCCTTACCTTAAAAAACAACAACATAACGGATAAAATAAACTACGTTCTGATGCAGCATAAAGTTACAAACAGTAGCTCTTGCCGTAATCTCTCGAATCAATTTGTTATTGCGGAGGGAGAAGCGACAATTTGAAGCAGCTTGAAACTTGTAAATAATTGATATATGAATTACATCACTTAACTTCCAGCTGACCGGCCGTCTGTCGAAACAGAACACCTGCTCGCGACTTTTTCCGTGCATTATCATAGATTACAACAGGTAAATTAATTCAATTAATCCGTCCTCCTGTCATTTCTATATTTATCGCAGAAACTTTAATGTTGAATGTGACAAAGTGACGAGTAAAATAACTCTGTCTCTGATATATATATTCTTTCATACTCAATAAACATAATACCTTTTTGAAAAATCGTCTTTTTAAATGGGTATCCTTCACACACATATTTGTCGCAGTGTATTTCACAACTTGAAATTGAGACATCTTGCAATATTCAATCAATGCAATATTTATTCAAATGGTTGATATTTGTCCAATTTCAAATTCAGCGCGAATGAAAATGCCCAATCGACAATCCAAACTTTTGCATTAAACAATCCCAAATGCTTCCTAAATGTTCCCTAAGCAGACCAAACTCTCCATACAACATTTCAACTACTTTGTCTATACCTTACAAATCAGTCGGATAGGGACTTCCTCCTTTG